AAAAATGAATTGAAATGAACGTGAAACGGAGCTGATACTGCGGTCGCAGCATCGGTGTCTATGTATAGTGAGCCGAAGTGGTCAGCTTCAGCTGCGAGAAGTGTGTGGAGTTGGAACATGGATACAACACAACTCACCTTAGATGGAAACAGACTGCAGGATGATGCATCACAAACAAACTAAAGACACATGAGGAAACAGCACTCAGTGTTAGCTTCGATCTAGGTTTTGAAATGTTCAGAACTTTGAAGTTGCGTCACCTACGTAGCGAGGTTCAATGCCCAGCGAAACCGCGTAGGATCACCAAGGGGGCCAGTGGCCTCATTCCCATCCGGCCACTGCGCGAGCCTGCGAGAGTCGTTTGGCCGCGCGATGAAGCCGGGCTACGCATCAACACCACACAAATGGCAAATTCGTCCTTCTATAGCTTCCAACGGTTGAACCGCTAGTGGTTTAGTATGGTTTAGCAAAGCATAAATAAATCCATTCTAAACCGAAAGGACTAAGGGTCTAAGAGTATGTCTGAGGAGAGTTAAACTCGGGTGTCATCGTTGTCACCCCTTAAGAATTACTAGAGTGGATAAGTTGATCATGACATGAAGGAACCACTGTACTAACACACAATTGTTGCGATCGGCACGTCCAGAAACATATACAAAATACCCCCCATTTGGAATGTAAAACCATGTAAAACCTCTTTTTATGGGAGGTGTTGTTAATCAGTCGATACATCAAGCTGTGTAAACTCCACTACATAGGCGTTACATAGGTCACTCTCCGTTCCAACGAAAAGCGACTCACCCTCCGTGGGGAGCTGCATGCTTTCTGTGTTCGCAAGGCTTGTGTACTCAAGTAGACGGACCTCCCAAACACCCTTAAAAAGGAAAGGAATTGGATCAAAATGCATTGGTTGCGGGTCTCCCATTTTGAACTACGCACCCACATGAGTGATGGTTTGTCTTCAATCATTTTTGACCGACCATCGACCTGCCTTCTGCACCGCCTTCATCGCTGAGCCGGAGCTGCCCCCCGCAGGCTTGGGCGCCTGCGCACCAGTGTGCACTGCTGGCGCAGCAGTGCGCCGATGCAAATGAGCTACACCGCGGCTACACCCAACGCGTTTATAGCTGACTTTAATTGAATCATCTTGCACCCGAAGAATTCTCGGACCCTCCAGTTGGCGGGGGTCCGGACCGAGCCAAACCCTTTCCAATTGAGGGCACAGATCGATTATTAGGACCATAATGGACCAATGGACCTCACAATAGGTAACCTCCATTGGACACCCCACACAAGCCTGCACAAGTTGGTCCTGGTCGACGTTCGGCTGCTTTCGGTTTCCAAATTTTCCCGCAAAGGACGTCTTTGCCGCAGGGTGAAGGTGGGCGCGGTCTTCGTCGACGCCCGGGATTTTCGTGGTCAAAGCATCTACAGCTACAATCATCTTATTTTGATGGGTCACAAAAACCGTCTAGTGCATGTGAAAGGGCTTCTGGGAATCAAATTCTTCCACGGCCAAGGTGTAGGACAATGCCGTTTTTTAAGTTCCGCGGTACGAACAGTTGAAGCCATGTCATTCGCCTGGGTGTGTGTGTGTGTGTGTGTGTCAACCCCTGTCTCTAAGGGACCACCTCACCTCACCTCACCTCACCTCACCTCACATCACATCACATCACCACTTATGTTTCTCTCCTTTGAATAACTCCACTTTGTTTTTCAGTAGCTCACGATGTAGGGGATTTTTCAACTTGTACAGTCACCAGCAGGGGGTGCAAGCAGCCCATCCAGTCTTGCACCAACGAAGACACTGGGTGTGCTGGTGATATCGATCTGGGACGCTGGATCAACATACCTGCAGATTCGATTGCTTTAAACCATACTGTTTGGTTGACTCCTTCACCTTTCCGTTGTGAGCAGGGCTTTTTCCTGGTTCTCAGGTTTTCAGCGCTCTAATTGGGTAACGCAGTACCTAGAAGCTAAAGTGCTAACACCAAGGGGCTACCAAAACTGACGTTTATCGAAGTGTACTGGATCGAGGAGGATCTGAGTGAGTGTGCGGCAGTGCGGCACATGCACGCGCTTCTGGTTGCCCGTGCGAACATCGGGGAATGTCATCCGAGGATTCAAACATCCTATGGTCCTATGGAGCCTGAGTGATCTCTATTTTGTAGATCACCAACCACCCAAAAATGACAGCTATTGTATATCAATAGAGGGGTCAAACGGAATGGAAGTGGAGAGCATAATGAGAGGATTCAATAGACATCATCAGAGTGGCGGAAGGTTGTAGGAAGGGGACTGTATGTCTCGCAGTTCTGCCGCCACTGTATACACTTCACCACAAATCACCGTGCTACACGCCATCACAAAGCATGACAATAGGCATCACTTTGGATTTCTTGGGCTTCGATCCCGGTGGTCATCAAGTCTGGAGAGACCATCAAATCTGTACATTCCGGGCTACTAGCCATCTCGGAAGCATTCCTTTTTCGCTCGGGAGTCGGATTTTGTTTCATCCCTGAAAGAACTCACAATTTACATCAAATCATCAAACACTTTCAAGCCACCACTTGGAACAATTCCGGCCATTGAATTACTAGCCTGCACTGCACTATCTCCTGCACTGGGGTTTTCGATGTCTCTCTCGCATTTTCTTTTCACCTGCTTTGAACAGCCCCAATCAATCTGTGCCCTTCCCGGCCTCCCGTGCCCGCGAGGCAGCGGCCGAGCTCGGCCGATTGGGCGCGGAGCGCAGAGGAGCGCCCACCTGGATGGCAAGAGGAGAACTGGTTTCATTGAGCGTTACAAGTCCTGAGAGATTCTGAGCTGAGGAAGTCCAAAAACTGATGTCGTGTGTTTCACTATGTTTCACTCCTGGACCACCTGATTCCAAAGCGGAAGAAAAAGTGCCACAAGGGACTAAAGATGCGATATTTACAAACAATGACATATTCCATGATGGGGTGTCCCCGGAGAGGTAGACTTGGACCACAAATGCACGGAATAAATCATCTTCGCAGGCTTCTGCCGAGGATTGGGCGTTAAAAAACGCCTGGTCAAGCTGAAGTGGTTGTGAGGTGTTCAATATGCTGCAAATTTCCAGTCCGCAAGTTCTGCCATGTTCGCAATTTTCCGCCATATTCCCGCATTTTTTCTGCCATATTGCCGCACATTTGCGCTATAGACTTGTTTGTCAAAATTCGCAAGTTGCAGCCACCTCTATCAACCGTTGGAATGCTACAGTTGAACTGTGTAGTGTTTAATCAATTCTGCACACGTTTTGTGTCCTGTTGCGCCATGGTCAAGATCCCCAAAGTGCACAAAAAGTATCAAAAAGTTACATATGGTATTCTATGGTATTCTTTTACAATGACAGCTCCAAAAAGCATGATTTTTGACCAAAGGCTTTTTTTGTGGCATACAAAGGTTGCTCCAGGCTTGCAAATTTACTGTAAAAGATATGATGATATGATATGATATGGCTATTGATATGGCTTACTTCAGCTTGGCTTTCTTCATTTTTGTCATGGAAGTTTCTTTTGACACTGCCGATGTTGGGCTTATATATACGCATGGCCGGACCGCCGGGCATCAAACTTTAGGGTTCCCACGTTTCCGGCGCAGACAGGGGTTTCGGTTTTGGACTTTTGAGATACGCGAGAAAGGTTCGAGACGAACTGGGATGCCGTTCTCATCCGATCTGAGATCCGGAGTGTTGCAGTTCTGCTGCCCTTCCTAAGTCAAATGCGTTTACGAGTACATGTTATACTTATAGTAGAAGTATGTAGAAGTTATAACTGTATATAGTCTAGTAAACTCATCGACAAAGGAGATTCGCAAGGTGATCCACATTTGTTCAGGTGGAAAGGCCAAAGGAAAAACATAGAACAACAAGCGCAAAGAACATCTTGAGAAAAGGACAAACTACCAAACAAAGCCCTGATGAGAAGTGCTGCAAAATGCTGCAATCACCTTGTGATTGTGAGGACCACTAAAAACCAATCTCCAGTCGTGTCCTCAAGGCTCCAGTCACGACTGAGCCTTTCGGGCTCATGGACCCGATGGTCGCCCCCGCGTCTTTGGACGACCACCTAAGGTGAGATGTGAAAATTCCTTTTCGATCCCCAAACATGAATCCACAAATGGATAGTGACATCAAAAGGCGATTCGCCGCTCCACCTTGTCGGAGCGCTCGGCGGTGTCGCCTTTGCCTGTCGGGTCAGCCAGTGGCCAGTGGCGAGTCTCAGGAAGAAATCCATGCAACAACAACAATCCAGTTCCACCACCTTCTCCCTCTTCCTCTAGGATTCTAAGCACCGATTTAAAGATTCCAAGCATTCTTACCGAACATCGAAGAACCGTTGTTTTAGTAAGGATTTTAGACTACAAGACCGGGGTCAACGGTCAACCTTCCTTTTTGTGGTCTTGAAAAGCTATATACAGGGCTTCGGGAATTCGAGGTTTCCCCATCTCCACGACCAGTGACCGACCCATATCCCTTCCCTACAGGTCAAAGACCTCATTGTTATTGCGGAAGTTGATTTGAACTACAAGTACGAAAACATCAACAACACTGCTCAATGAGGGGCTGGGCTAAATGGCCTTGCATACAAAACACTACAACACTACTAAGTTGATCACTACTCGAACCAACTTTACTGGGTCAGACTGGAGGTGCGGTGGTCAACAGATCCCAATTGACGCGGTGGAGTCCGCCGCCGCGACGATCGACATATGACGTCGCACCGGGTGAGTTGGCTGAGGAAGGCCGCTGCGGGGAGGAGGCGTTGGATCTGGGGATTGCCAGCCTTGGAGAGGTCGAGAGAAACATGGAAAATCTTCCAACTGGGTGTCACGAAAAAAAGGATTGGGTGCCCTGATATGGAAAAAAAAACAACAACTGTTTTGGATATCGTTATTGAATCGAGTTTTGTTAGTGATCGTCATATCCAAACGTATTGAAGCACATTGAAGTTCTTTCATATAGTCTTTCCGTGCATCTGGATTGCATGCTTCACTCAATCACAAAACTTCGACCAGCACTCTGCCACTCTGCCACTCCGCCACATCGCTTCGCATCGCGCTGCATCGCTTGGGGCGGTTCTTTTTGGATCACGACAGCAAGGCATCGCTCACCGCTGGGCACTGGTTCTCGTCTTCGCTCACCGCCGCGCGGCGGAGGGAGCGCTCGTGATTGCGGGCGACATGAAAGCTCCAGGAGAGCAAACAAAGAACGTACCTCGGTGGTGAATCTGGAGTCCCTGAGATTTCCGAGTGCCAATCCTTGTCAAACTGTGAGACTCCACTTCTGAGGGCCAAAAGGGCTTTTGTATCGACCCCTATGGACAGGGATGTTTGAGGTTCTTGGTTCTCGGTTCTGACTATTGTGGGGTTTCAGGAGCTGTGAGTTTGCAGGTTTGACTTATCGGTGAGTCATGTCGTCGCCAGTTCACAGCACACACAAAACCGAACCGACGGACCGCTGCTTGGCCAAGGAAAGGGATGAAGCTCTGCGAGGTGCCAAAGATCCCCCGAGATCCCCAGAGCCGGCGCCTGAAACCGCCTGCCTATCCCCATCATCCCCGTAGCGGGTTGAAACGTCGGAGTTCCTCGCCACCATGCGTGGCTGCTTGGGTAAACCCTTACTGATGGTCACTATGAGAGTGAGGAGGATCATAGGCAGACCTCGCGCCCAAAAGCAGACCGTGAAAATGTTATGTTGTGAATTGAGAATTGAACTGAACTGACATGTGGAAACTCTAATTCTGACAATCGAAGTAAAGCCAGGCTGGCATGCCATGACCATCCCAATCCCGACTGCACTATGGTGTGAACGCATCTTCACCCTGCAAGTGCCTGCAAGTACTGAACTTGATGATATCTTTGATGCCCGCCCCCTCTTCCAGTTCAGTGGGACGATCCGGATGATTCGGGATTAACCAGAGAGGTTGGTTCTCGGAGAACTGCTGAGGGGTGGTGGCCCTGGTACTTCCTTTCGACTCAAGGCACAATTCGCAGGAAGCCAATGCACTCCAAATCCACTTCGAGGTCCAAAACACGAAGGGCCCACACATTTCAGCGTCGCGGTGTTGGAGGCTGTGTGTCCAAGCCATGCCCAGGAAAGGCATGAGGGCCAAGGAGATCTTCAAAGCCCATGTGATGAAGGAGATGGCCAGCTTACCTCAGTCGTTGCAAGTTTTTGAAAATCGGACCACTATGCCGGTCAACGCGTTTTGACACACCCAGTGGGAAGGACCATGGACCACGGTAGGCAAATACAAACAGACCGTGCCCAAATTGGCGCAGTCCAAACGTCAGTATTTTTCAAGCTGAAACCACTCAATCTCATGCCGTAGCTGTTCAACCAATTGTAAAAAACACATTGTTTCCTTTAGAGTGAGTCTTTGGGTATCGTTTTTCTTCCAAAGCAATCTTCTCAAAAAAGAATAACACTCCGGCGGTCAGCGTTGTTTGTTTCCCTCTCCTTCCTCCAGGCGGCCATCATTGGCACAGTCCATGACCAAGCTTGCCGCCCCAAGCGCACCGAACCAAACCAGCAAAGCGTCCAAGTCCTGGACGGAGCGTCGACCAGCTGACCAGCGAACCACCAGCACTGACCAAAACTGAAGCGCCCTCATGGAGGGTGGTTCTTTTTCTACCAAACTGTCCCATAACCACCCTGACCATAGGCGGTGGCCAAGTGGAGAGAGGCCGTGCCCAGAAGATTCAGTCTCACCTCCATTTTGCTTCGGTGATTGGAGTGAATTGGCATCAAAATGCGTTGAAAACGGAGATCGCTGGAACGGTTCCCTGCCACAACCCAGCCAAGTCCAAGGTCGTCAGGGTGACAGTGTCACACAGTACTAGGCATCATTTTCAGATGGTGGTCATCTTGATTTGGCCGCCCTTTGCGCAATCACCAAAAACATCCACAAGTCCTGGTAAAGTGCCAACAAACCATCTACGCTCTGCTTGATTATATTTATATATATATATTTATATATATAAATATATATTATAGACTCACTGATGGACTCCTGATGAATAACACGCACCCAAACATGGATTGACATGGATTGTATCTTCAGGTGTGGGGGTTTCCTCTACAAGCCGGTGATGGTCCACTTGCCCAGCCTTTGGGCAGCGGTCGTCGCCGTGCTCCGAGCCCAAGTAGATCATGAGCCCAAAGAGCACCGCAGGAAAAACCAAGAGACCTGGCTGTGTTGAATACCTGAAAAGTGGTGGCTTAGAGGTGTTTGAGCAACCAATGACCACTTGTGAGAAATTCACCACTTTGAAAAGGTCTGATCCTCCAAAATCATTGAATCATTCATATCAAGCAGTCCCTGAGTTGAGTGAGCCCTGTGCGACCCCAGCTACCGTTTCTATCTGTTTGGGGAGCACCCGAACCCCTACCAACAAATCATCACAACCACTTAAAGAGAGCTTTACTTTTTCAGCACACGTGTTTGGAGTGTGCACCAGTAAAAGAGTCCTCGCTAACTTGTTGTCCTATAATTACTGCATTTGGATGGCGCATACTCCGGCAGGAAGTTGATATATTTAAGATTATTTAAGTACCATGAAAGCAACGTCCCCCAAAACAACTACAAACGACCCATAAATGCCCAATGATCGAAACCACCTATGAATCTATCATGGGGGCGACGGTCATCCGTCGCACTTACCACGGGTCCAAAAAGTGTTCACCGTCGCACCGGTGCACCGTCCAGAGTCTTGCGAAGTACTCAGCATGTCTGTAGACGGAGATGGATGTGAATACAAAGATCTTGCCAAGATGCAAAGATAGAAGATGTGAATCAAAACAGCCAATGTCAGGATGCAGGCCTCAGTAGGCCAGAAACGCAAATAGAAAACTGCTGTAAACCGTGAAACAGCGAGATTCCTTTACAGTTGCACTTGTACTCAAACCGTCAAAAGCAGCTCTTCACCTGAAAGGATTGCACACATGGAAAAGGATCCCAGAAATTCAGCAACTGCTCAGAGCCCAAACACATTGCGTTTTCATCTTTTTCTGTGTTCATCAACGGTACACCGCTTTCTTTTTTTTGCAGCTTTCACCCTTCTGCCCCATGTCGGATGCACGGCCTGCGAAGCCCTGGAGGTGGAGTCCGGACGGCCGCCCAAGCGCTTGGGCAGTGGTAGGGTCTTGGGTAAGTCCTCGGTGTATTCCCCAAAGCGGACGAGTTCATTCGGGGCCGAGATCACAGGTGAAGCTTCCCGTTGGGTTCAGGTTCAGGTAGGTAGGTTCAAGTGAAGCGTGGTGAAGCAACTCCAGAGTTCTTGATTTAGTGGGGTGAAGGCCATCAACCGGTGCTGGGTCGGTGCCTGGAACGTGGCGCTGTGGCAAAAACACTTTGCCCGAGCAACAATGAGTTACAAAGAGGACACAAGCCCACCTTGGGTATATCCCATTACCAGAAACAGTGGATTGTTCCGATGGTTAATAAAAGCCGACATCTCAAAAATGGGACCCTGAATCCACCACCTAATTGGAACGAAAACTTTCTTGGTATTGCGTTGGTTTGAATCATCATGTCATGCCCAGTGCTGGTGGGTGAAATTTGTTCCCGCAAACCTTCATGCTTCTCCTGCAGTGGTTCGATATGGACGTTTTATATTGTTGTGGAACAGTAACCAAAAGGACATATTATGGTGGAACTGTGGAGAACTCCTGTTTGATTGGATTGTATTGGATTGTATTGGTTGGCTCTGGTTCACGTGAGTTTTGTCAGGAGATGTCAGGAGCAAAAACGAAACTCAGGGGTCAACTGAAGAGAGTGGACCTGTTGAAGGAACCTTTACTCGCCAAACCCTCGGTATACCATGTCATCTTATGCATTTCTTCGGCTTTATGTGCCCAACATGTCTAGCTTCACCTTGCACATGGTGTCACAACTTATCTGGAAAGCTCTGCCACATTGGCAAGCTCGCAAGAGACACCTGTTAAGGAGTAGCTGAGTAGCCTCTGTGGTACGATTTCCGCCATGTGATATAAAACCACTGCCATCTATTCAACATGTCATTATATATTTCCCGAAAGCGTTGCGAAGGGTTCTTCCGGAAAATCCTTTGAACACTGAGACTTCGACACTTACACTTCGACACTTACACTTACACACGCACACACACACACACACTGGAAGAGCGAAAGCATCCAAGTGCAAAGTATGCAAGTGTCAAAGTATGCAAGTCTAATGATGAGCATGCAAGCATGCAATGAGTATGCAAGCATGCAATGAGTATGCAAGTGTGATGAGTGAACATGGAAAACTAGCATGGAAAACTAGCACGGGAGATGTCCTAATGAAAGACATTTCCCCACTTTATAAATTCTCTCTTAAAGGCGGAGGGTGGGACGAACAGCGTCAACCGAAAATGCAACCCTCTGCGGAGATAGTGCGTGTCGAGTGCGCGAAATGCAGGCGAGAGTGAGATTTGCCGGCTGCGCGCGCAACCCTCTGCGGAGATCGTGCGTGTCGAGTGCGCGAAGTGCAGGCGAGAGCGCGATTCGCCCGGTGTGCGCGCAACCCTCTGCGGAGATCGTGCGTGTTGAGTGCGCGAAATGCAGGCGAGAGTGCGATTTGTCCGGTGCGCGCGCAACCCTCTGCGGAGATCGTGCGTGTCGAGTGCGCGAAATGCAGGCGAGAGTGCGATTTGCCGGCTGTGCGCGCAACCCTCTGCGGAGATCGTGCGTGTCGAGTGCGCGAAATGCAGGCGAGAGCGCGATTCGCCCGGTGTGCGCGCAACCCTCTGCAGAGATCGTGCGTGTCGAGTGCGCGAAATGCAGGCGAGAGTGCGATTTGTCCGGTGCGCGCGCAACCCTTTGCGGAGATCGTGCGTGTCGAGTGGCGAAATGCAGGCGAGAGTGCGATTTGCCCGGTGCGTGCGCGGGAGCTGGAAGCTGAGAACTGGCGACTTTCTATAGTACAACTTTAGTACATGGAGTAGCCGGGAGCTGGAAGATGAGAACTGGCGACTTGGTAGTACAACGTTAGTACGCGGAGTAGCTGGGGAGTGGGAAGATGAGAACTGGCGACTTTGTAGTACAACTTTAGTACGCGGAGTATCTGGCGAGTTGGAAGATGAGAACTGGTGACTTTGTAGTACAACTTTAGTACGCGGACTAGCTGGGGAGCTGGAAGATGAGAACTGGCGACTTTGTAGTACAACTGTAGTACGCGGAGTAGCTGGAGAGCTGGAAGCTGAGAACTGGCGACTTTGTAGTACAACTTTACTACGCGGAGCAATCTGTGGAGCTGGAAGCTGAGAACTGGCGACTTTGTAGTACAACTCTAGTACGCGGAGTAGTTGTGGAGCTGGAAGCTGAGAACTGGCGACTTTGTAGTACAACTTTACTACGCGGAGCAATCTGTGGAGCTGGAAGCTGAGAACTGGCGAGTTTCTAGTACAACTTTAGTACGCAGAGTATTTGGGGAGCTGGAAGGTGAGCACTGGCGACTTTGTAGTACAACTGTAGTACGCGGAGTAGCTGGGGAGCTGGAAGATGAGAACTGGCGACTTGGTAGTACAACTTGAGTACGCGGAGTATCTGGGGAGTTGGAAGATGAGAACGGGCGACTTGGTAGTAGAACTTTAGTACGCGGAGCAATCGGTGGAGCTGGAAGATGAGAACTGGCGACTTTGTAGTACAATTCTAAAATTTAGTACGCTTCATTCCAGCTTGCTTTTTTCAGTGAGATTTCCTGGAGGCGCGCACGCTGCGTCTCCCCCTTACCAGCAGCCCCAATGCTCACGACGATGAGCTCAGCTGGGCTGTCACCGCTTGGCCGCCGGTCGGGGGTTTGGGAGGCCTGCGCGCTAATTCGTTCACTATATGTACAGTGAAGACCTTCACCAGCAGCAGACACGGACATACGCACACAAACAGGGACTATTACACACACACACATCGCACACAGAGACCCACGCACTGCCTCAACTTACACGAATACACACACACACATACGCAGAGTCATATACACACGGACATAGATACACGCACAGGAACCCACACACTACCTCAACTCACTCGACTTAACACTTCACACTGCACACTTAACAGATAACTCGCACTCTGACTTCCTACGTGATGAAAAATGCTTTCGGGCCACTCGTCGTCTAGTTTGGATGCCTTGACAAACAGTTGTCTCGAAAGTCAAACGAACATCGCAAGAGCCCTGAACCAACAATTCTACTGCAGTGGGGAATTGAGTCATGACGAACCCTGGTGAGAAAGGTTCTGGTGTCCCCACACGCAGTTGATGAACATCAGCAAAGGTTTGGGAGCAGGTTATTGAAAGAAACACACACACATAACATATATGTATATATAAATACACAACATGTATATATATATATATGTATATTCGGCTGCATCAGTTACACTTAACTTGAGATGTGACGAGCGGACACAGCTCGCTTCTTTTTTCGCATGAGCTTCAAATGTTTGGTTCAAAAGTGCTTTGGTTAACGTGACCCTGTCACAGCAGCCCACGCTGCGCGCACCCCTGGTGCATACCTCTGCCAGGTATTCATTCCCTACCTGTACCTGGTAGACTCCTTAAAATAGTCAAGAGGATACTGAATGTCAGTCCTATGACTATGGTGGAGTAGGATAAAAATAAACACAACGCAGTAACCCAAGAGTCGACACTCGTTTACTGCAATCACAGTGACCAACCCTTGCTCCGCAATGTCACTGGTAAATGGTATCTGGACTCATGACCAGAGTATTTCGCCTTGCCGACTGCTGCAAAGGGGTGTGGCTTTTCGGCAGACACCAGCCACTAAATCATAAAACCGAGGACGAGAAAACAAACTGGACACCATGGTATCCCGCAGACAGCACCAGTCCAGTGGCTCATTGCCAGAGCATTTAGCCAGGCCGACAGCTGCAATTCATCTGGCTTGTGGCAGACCGCGCCAGGATGACGAAAAATTTACATCAAATGAAAGCACAGGAACCGCCTCCGTGGTACTCAGCTGACAGCGACCACGCGGTGCCCCGGGACTCCAAATACGGGACTGAAAGACAGGCGAACACTTGATCATCGTCGGCAACCGGAGCGTGTAACTTCAAAATGATTCAAACTGCCAAATCTTGTAACCGAAGCCACCCCAAGGGCCCTCCGTGGAAGACATCACACAGGCCAGCAAATCACTTGGATGCACCGCAACCATGAGGACTCAGGCCGACAGCTGCCACGAGCACCTGTAACCACTCGTACCGAGCACAGGGTGTGGTGGGGGTTTAGGGTTTAGGGTTTAAGGTTTAGGGTTTATAGAAGTTATATAGTGTCCATGTCCTAAAAAGTT